GGCCATGTAATGGATTGTGTTGTAGGGCATGGAGTAGCTCTTGGTTGGCAAATTCAACTCATAAAGAAAAATCCAAATTACAGTCATTGCAAATGGATTCAAGTTGTCCATTCTGCCCCTGAAGAAATTGGAATGTACAAAAACATTTCTAAAGGTCAACAAATGCAGAAAGCAGAAATAGAACTATGTAAAAAGGCTGATCAAGTTGTAACGATTGGCCCTAAGCTAACTAAAGCATATGAGCGCCAACTCAAAAAACAAGATGTTTTCAACCTGACCCCAAGCATTTTCAGTGAATTTTCAGATGTGCAGCAAGCAAGCGATGAAAGAAAAACATTTTGTGTCTTGGTAACTGAGAGTGGTGATAATGAAGATTTTGATGCTAAAGGATACGAAATTGCAGCAAAAGCTATTGCTAACCTACAGGATAACTCTTACCAACTCAAGTTTGCTTCCAAACAGAGAGGAAAAGAAGATGAAATAGTAGAAAAGTTACTTCAGTGTGGTATTGGTCGTAATCAGCTAATTGTCTGCAGCTTTGATGAAAACAGGGAAACATTAGCCAACTTATTCTGTGAGGCAGATATTGCTCTATTGCCATCAAGAAGCGAGGGATTTGGTTTGAGTGCTCTTCAGGCCATATCTGCTGGTCTTCCATTACTTGTCAGTGAAAACTCAGGAATAGCAGAAGCCCTACGTAGGGTGGCTAATGGGTCACAGTGTATAGTAAAAGATTCAGAGCATCCTGAAAAGTGGGCCAGAGCAATAAAAGCTGTGCGTGACAAAGCCAGGAATGTACGCCTTGCAGAGGCAAAGGATCTTTGTGCTAACTATCTCCAGGTGTACAGCTGGGAGGAACCTTGTCGTTTCCTTGTTGAGAAGATGAATGAACTTGTATTTGGTAAGTCTTCTCATTTTGTGCACTAGAGTGGCAGAAGTTTTCTCTAAATTTTGTGTATTTTTAAAACAACTACCAGTATTCACCAAAGTGAAGGTGGCAATTAGAGGTGAATATTTACAGTTCTAGCCACCAACACTGACTGATACCAAAGTGAGTAGTTGTTTTAGTATATATATTAAGAAAGTGAGATACTATAGCACAAAAATATGATTGTAATTCATTTGCTCCGACCTACAACAGTTTCAATATTCTCGGACACAAATCCTGTGCAACTTGCTCAGAAGTGAATAAGGAAGGATATTTGAAGTTTGAGTAGCCAATCAGTGTGCCCTCAAAGCTATCCATTATATTAGTATATACTAGTGACAAAGGTCACATACTCAGTGTAAATATTTAAACACAAAGGTGCGCTATAAAAGGAGCCTTAGGTCCCACTGGACTATTTGTCAATCAACCGTCATGTGATGTAGAACTCTTAGAGTCAAGTCAGCTTGAGCTACAGCTACTCCAAAGCAGTGAACAGCGGGCCCATTCCTCAATTTTTTTCTGTCTTGATTACAATACAAGAATTTTTGAGATTTGTATTTCCTTTCTCCAATGGAAACTGTCTTATTTGTGGCAGTAAAATTTGAGATTGAAGTAGGTGGTTCACACGTTACCTCATTGCCACCATGCTGGTGGAAGTAATCAATAGATATCTCATTAGCTCCTTTTGTTCATCTACCAGCATTTAAATTTGACCCACACACGTCAACGGTGAGTGACAAATGAGCCTAGGTTTTCACAGGGAAGACTTCCTTATATAGCTTGCCTTCGTGTTTAAATTTCAGTTGTACAGTTTTTCCAAAAAGTAATGGTTACATTTAAGAATATATTGTTGGTCTAAAGCTCCAAATTGGGGTTTGGGGCTGATGATTGTTTTATTAAAAAAAATTATCCTAAGATATTGGACAAATCTTCTCGACTTTATTTTTGTAAGAAGAAACCGGATGTTACAATGTACAGATATTAGATTATGGTATATTGGCTCATATACCATAATGGCTAAGCCAATAAAAAGTCCTGAATTGCATTATCCAATGATCCAGTTTTTAATAATGTGCCAAGTACATGTTGTTAGCACTTATCCGCTGGAAAGTGATTTATCTGTTGGATAGTGCTCTCCGCCCTTTGAACAACTGGGGCAAGATTGACATTTTGATCCTCCTCATACTCTCAAGCTAATAGGTAAAGAGAATGAAGATGATTTTCAACTTATAGCATTCTCTCTTGCTGATAATCAGCTTTCAGATAGTTGCTGTGTAACAATTATGGCTAAAAACATTTAGTGTTGTCAATCAGACATAGACTGTATGGCAAATTGGGATAAACTAGGCTCTAAAATAATATTTTAATTGATTAAAACAAGTTTACTAATTTTGTTAACAGGAGAGAACTTNGTTGGTCTAAAGCTCCAAATTGGGGTTTGGGGCTGATGATTGTTTTATTAAAAAAAATTATCCTAAGATATTGGACAAATCTTCTCGACTTTATTTTTGTAAGAAGAAACCGGATGTTACAATGTACAGATATTAGATTATGGTATATTGGCTCATATACCATAATGGCTAAGCCAATAAAAAGTCTTAAAATAATTGAGAAGAATTTGCTGCCTTTCTATAACATCAAGAAATGGTTAGATATTCTAGTCTTCTCAGATAGGGACAAATAAATGGAGGTCCCGTCTCCTGCAGGGTTAGGGTAGGAGACGTTAATTTCCCACACACGAGATTACTGTGTGATGGATTTCCTCTCCTGGTGTGGGAATTGGGTGGGTTTATTAGGCCCGCAGGCATTGGCGCAAGCTGTTGCGGTGTCCCTGCTGGTTGGCAAAGCTAAATAAATAAATAAATAAATAAAAAGTTGGCTCCAAAACAAAATTACTGTACAGATCTGCAACATTTGTTTTCTTTGAGTTGTTGACTTTATTTGAAGGGCTACTGTTTTTGTTTATTTGAAAAGAGAACAATGGACTGTTTGAATCAGTGACTTAAGCCAAAAAGAGCTGCTAATTTGGAAAGCGAACTAGCTGTGAAGTTACTCAATTGAACATTGGAAGGGAGGAATGGTGGATTGGGGAATTTGAGGAATATCTTAATTAGGACACAGAAAATTGGAATATCCTAGAATGTGATGTGAAATAAAAGTCTCCAAAAAAAAGAAAGAAAAAAAAATTCTATCATTAAAAGGTAAAATTAAAAGGATCATAGGTAATCATTGTTTGGGCTCAGAGGATTGAGGAACCATGAGGCTTTTAAGCTAGCCCCTTTAAATTATTATTACTTTTATTACCATTACTACTTTTATTGTTAATGCCATTACTTTATTTGCTTAACATCTACCGGGATCCTCTGAGGCCCAGTTGATCTGTTTTAAAAGTGGGCGTCGTTCAGACACCCCTGTGCCCTGAAAAAGTATGTTTGCATTGGTGTGGAAGTCTTTGTTTTCAGCATCTTATTTATTTGTTGACCTTGAAACTCGACTATTGTTTTCACGGCTTTCTAAACTCAGATGTATCAATATATTTTTAGCGGTTTGTCACCGTTCCATGATTGTTTTCTTCTCCATCACCTCAATTTCTGCTCGAGAGCTTCTCGAACAATTTTAGTTAGTTTCGAGTGATGTTATGTCAATTATATAGTTTGAAACATGCCGAATAAACTTTATTGTTTTATCACCAAGCGAGGCGGGTCCCGCGAGGCATCCCAGAAATGCTTCGCAAGGTAGGAAGATGTAGTGCGGGAACTGTCGAAAGTAAGGTATCGGCGAGTCACGCCGAGCTCGGGAACAGTGCTCGAGTGTTACCTGGAGCATAGTTAGTAGAGGAGACTGTAGGTTCAGAGTTTTGTTCGAGCAGCCGTTGCCCGCTCCTGAGTACTGGGGCGCCAGACTGGTGCCTGGGCGCCATGGGACAGAGGTTGTCCTCGACCATTGTACAGCTAACCACTATGATCTACCGGCGCAACTTCCATAATATGACTGACTGAGGGCGTCAGATGCATTAAATGGGTGAGATGGAGTCAGACGTGAATGATCCTCCGTAATCTACATCGAATGTAATATTTAGTTAGGTGACACTTATTGACTGGTGAAAGAAAGCAAAGCAACACTAACAAATGGCGTCTTCGGAGGGCTCAACCGCTGCCAGTAGCAAAGAGGTGAAGAACAGAGAGAGGCTTATTGATGTCATGTTCCTCTGTGACGAGTGGAAATCTTCGAAGGGTGGATTATCCACTTTCAATCAAGAATTTGCTATTAATTTGACACAAACCATGACTGGTAGTATGAAAATCCATTGCTACGTCTCCAAAAGCGATGACCAGGACAAAGAAGATGCCAAACAACACAATGTAAAGAAAGTTAAAGT